AAACCACGTGCAATAGATCAAGATCAAGATCAAGGTTAAGGCTGTTAGGGTAATTTAAAAAAATACAAATCACCCCCCTATGCACCCAGCAGCCCCAAATAAACACCCAGCAACTAGGCTCCGTACTCCCCCACACCCCCGTGAGATAGGGTAGGGCAAAGCCGGTCCCGCAGCCTCACGAGTCAGTCGAGCACAAGGCCCCCCCCCCACCTGGCCCCACCTGGGCCCCCAGCGACCCCCCCCCCACCCACCACCACCACCACCACCACCACCGGGTGATCAGGGTATCCAAATGGAGCCCCATCTCCCTTTCCCTCTCCCGCCACAAGTTGTCAGTCGGCAGAAATACACTGACCCCCTGGCGCATCTATCGCTCTATCTCGGAGGATCTGGCTGGGCTGGTATTAATACCCCATACTGGGCCCCATACTCGGGTCAAAAGATGATGGTGATTGTGTTGTATATAAATAATAGCTAATCATGCAAATGACATAAAGCTGGCGCAGTGGCAGTCGACCCGGACACAACAAGGGCGGCACAACAACGTTGTTGTTGGAGCGTGTGTGTGTCTGTCTGTCCCTATCTCGCACACACGCGAACCCCTCAAGTGCAGCACATTTCCGTGCAGCACATTTCCGTGCAGCACATTTCCGTGTACAGACTGCTCTGTACCTCGTACACACCACGTCCCCCGCTAGAACGACTACCACTACCACTACCACTACCACTACCACTGCGGGCGACCACCAGGCCGAGCACTGAGGCGGCCGCGCCCGATGACGACGACGACGACGGCGATGATGATGGAGAATACCCAAAACCATGTGTGGTGGTGACGGCCCGTGCCGTCCGTGCTTGTAATAAAAAATCATTGTCGGTGTACACAATACCATGCAGAGATTGCGCCCGGGATACATACATACATACAAACATACATACACCCAGCTACACATGCAACACATTTTAGGAGTTCTGTGCGTTTCTGTGCAGCTGTGCATGCATTCTCTCTCTATATCGGATTAAGTAGCTCAAGGGAACCCTTGAATTTCGTTTTTCTCGAACACCATATGCAGAAGAGTGTGTGCAGACATACAGACATTTACACACTGCCGAAAGGCACAGTGTGCCCTGGGGAGGAGGACGGCGCGGGAAAAGCACACACGGACGACCTGCCTCATATGCACCCCTCCACCAGATCAGGTGCTGGTTCACGTACTGGTGACACGGAGGTCCCTCCATCACGCACCACCAAACACCACCAAAGCTGTTGAAGGTCCCACGGAGCCCCACTGAGCCCCAGCCGTACAGATGCGCAGCGACAGCAGCACATACAGAAACACACATGACAGACATGAAAAACACACATGGGCTTTATGTTATGTTATGTTATTCATGTCATGTGGAACACACACCTTTTTTTTACCGTGCACATCTTACTGCACACGTCGACAGCACCACGCACATGCAATGCACCAGCAGGCAGGCAATGATGTCCTGCAATGAAGCGGCGGCGACGGATGGTACGGTACACTCACCTCCTCCAAGATGCGCTCCACCCCTCCCCCCGGGAACGGGACACATACCCACAGAGACACCACCACTATCCCCAAAACTATCCCCACCACTATCCCCAAAACTATCCCCACCACCATCACCAGCAAAAAGTCACCTCCCTCAAAAACACACGCGATCCAGCCCATCTCTTCATCCTCCGGGAATGCGACGGATACAGGAACGTGGGGAGCCGGTGAAAATATTCCTCCCCCCCCCCGGGTGAAGCGTGCCGCTAAAACACGCTCTCCGAGAGACACCGTGTGTGTTTTTGCGGCGGGCGGAAACCCCACAGTAGGCTCGAGGCACTGGATCACACTGGAGTGCACAACTGACGAATTAACGAACTAACAGACAAAAAACAAACTGATACCTATCTGCTCCACATCTTAACCGCTCTTCCCTAACTACCTAAACGACCAAACTGCCCTCGCCGAACTGCCTTTAACTGCCACACTAACAAGCATTATCCAGGAACAGCGCGCTTTTGAATCCATCGGCAGAATCTCTAAAACCATCGGCGTCAAACTGCCATTCAGGCGGAAGTGATTCCTCCACCCATGTACGGCCATGTACGGTCCCTAATCCACACCGGCCGACGCGTTTCATCGATGACGGAGGTAAAACCCCCCGTCACCAAACTAACGACAATGGCAGTCCGGGCCCTCCTTCCCTTCCCCCCTTTCCCCCCCTTTCCTCACTGCCGGACTCCACGCCCTGCCGGACTACCACCGGCACTTAGCCGCTCGCGCTCGAGCTGGTCTCCCAGCCCCCTATCAGGAAGTGCTGTGGCGGGGCCGGGACCTGGCGAGCTGTGCTGATGGGGCCCTAGCTCTGTGGCCATCTACACACACACACACGAGACAGACACACGCGACATACATACATACATACATACATACATACATACATACATACATACATACATACGTCTACACAGTTGGGGCTCCGGTCAACAGTGCCTGGCGAGGAGAGGACGGGATGGAAGACGCGCGAGTGAAGGCGAGGTTCAGGTCCAGGCTGTGTAGTCGCCCCCAGTCTGGTAGAGCGTACTCCCCGTAGGGGAAGGGGGGGGGGAGGGGGAGGGCCCCCCCTTCCGTAACACATCATCCATCCAGGTCGCTGTCACCGGTAGCCCCCATTCCGCCGTCCGCCTGGCCGGCAGCAGGGTCCCACTCCGACGCCGCATCCCAGTCCTCATCCTCCGGCTTGGGAAGCAGCATGTCGGGGGACCTGGTGTACGGCATGTACGTCACGGTACGACAGGTACGACAATGGGGCGGCACACATGCAGCGGGGCATCAATCAACGACATGACTCATAAAGTAATTTTTTGCATTGAAGTTCTTATTATTACCCCTACTACTACTACTACTACTACTACTACTACTACTACTACTACTACTACTACTACTACTACTACTACGCCTACCTGTAGCAGCTGGCTGGTACATAGAACACGGCACACATGACGTCTACAAATACGCGCTAAGGCGCTCCGCAGGCTGCAGCGTCTTGAGAAGCCTTTTCAGCAGCGGCCAGCTACTACCTCTACCGCAACCCCTCCTCGTCCTCCTCCTCCTCGCCCCCTTCCCCTCTTCCTCCTCCTCCTCCTCGCCCCCTTCCCCTCTTCCTCCTCCTCCTCCTCCTCCTCGCCCCCCTCACCGTGTCACTACCGCTCCCACTGCCATGCGGCCCCGGGCACCTCCTCCCCCCCTCCCCCTCACACCCTCCCGCACCTGTCGGAGGAAATGGCGTTGGTGGCCAGGATCTGCGGCCCCGCCTCGCGCACCTCCGCGGTCCGCAACGTGATCAGGCGACCGCCCTGTGTGGTCGCCGCCGGACGAGTAAGGGAAGGCAAGGAAGGAGGAAATTGACGGCAAGAGCCCTCCGGGTCCAGACAGGCCATGGATAGCCAGACAGGCAAACACAGCCAGACAGGCAAACCCTCCCCCTGCGCTCGTGGCCCAGGTCGCAAGCCAGCTGCTCACCCCCACGGTAGTCCCCATAACTCCAACCCCCCCATAACTCCCAACCCCCCCATAACTCCCAACCCCCCCATACCTCCCAACCCCCCCATACCTCCCAACCCCCAATAAACCCCAAGCCCCCCATAACTCCCAACCCCCAATAAACCCCAAGCCCCCCATAACTCCCAACCCCCAATAAACCCCAAGCCCCCCATAACTCCCAACCCCCAATAAACCCCAAGCCCCCCATAACTCCCAAGCCCCAATAAACCCCAAGCCCCCCATAACTCCCAAGCCCCCACAACCCCCCCATAAAAGTCCTAGTACCTACCTCCAGGCCGAAGTTCATGAAGGGCTGGTCGCACACGTCCACCAAGTGCACCAGGTGCCGCAGACTGTGCAGCCTCCTCCCGCCGAAGCTCTCGCAGGGCACCACACTGTACCGGTAGCCGTGGTTGATCTCGTGCGCAAGAACCTGACCCGGACCGGAGAGGGGCAGAGTCAGGGAGAAGACACGCGCACGCGCACACACACACACGCACGCGCGCGCACACACAAGGAAAAAAGGGGAGAAATGGCCCTAAGTTAGGACAAAAGGAAAAGCGGCCGCAACTGACTCATCACGTGAAATTACAAAAAACAATAGGCTAGAAACCTGAAGTGAAGGAAACGAGCCCCAAGCAAAACAAAAATGCGTTGCCATCATGCCCTCCCCGCGCCTCCCTCTCCCCCCCAGGCCACCAATCGCCAGAGCAGTGCAGGCCGGCCTGGGTGACCCCCCCCCGCCCCCCCCGGCTCGCTCCGCTCCGCTCCGGGGTCCCCGAACCTACCTGAACCAAGAGCACCACCTGGAGAGGGCCAACGGCAGCAGTAGCAGTTGTAGCAGCAGTTGTAGCAGGAGCAGTTGTAGCAGGAGCAGCAACAGCAGTTGTAGCAGGAGCAGCAACAGCAGTTGTAGCAGGAGCAGCAACAGCAGTTGTAGCAGGAGCAGCAACAGCAGTTGTAGCAGGAGCAGCAACAGCAGTTGTAGCAGCAGCAACAGTAGCAGCAGCAGCGGCACAGCAGTTGTAGCAGTAGCGTCAGCCATAACGACAGCAAAACAGTAGCAACGGCAGCAACAGCAGCATTCTAGCAGCAGCTGTAGCAGCCGCCGTTGCAACATAGAGCGCACCAGGCACCACCGCAGGGACTTTTCAACCAAAGTCCTGTAAACGGGACCACGATGCCACAATTACTTCCGGGCGGCTAGGCGCCGGGCCGGGCGCACCATGGGGGCTCCCCATGTATTGCGACACGACAGGAGCAAAGGCGACACGACAGGAGCAAAGGCGACACGACAGGAGCAAAGGCGACACAGGGATACATGGGCGTGTACTACCCCATGGGAGTGCGCACCATCATCAAGCCAACATGGACCATGGGTCACATCCCCACACCCCACCAAACTGGCCCCCCCCAAAAGGCGGGGTCGCACACCTGTTGCCCCTTGAGGACTTTATTCTGGTTTAGCGCCGCCAGCACAGGTACGGGGATGTCGGCACGGCGGCTGCGCCGGCCGCCGCCGCCGCCAAAGACCATCTCCAAGAAGGGACTCGACAGGGGCGCAAACACCAGACCGCCCACAATGAAATACGACGGTACGGCATCCACTGCGTCCAGTACGGGCACCAGATGATCCTTGGCCCTGAGCGGAAAACTGATGCAGACTTCCTGGCGGTTGTGTGACGGTTGGTACGGCAGAGTCGTGATGCGGCGCAAGGGAGGATATTGTCAGCAAAAACTGAGATGGGGCGGCCAACGGCATCCCAACTGTATGTGTGGCCCCCCCTCCAGCCACACATGGGACAAAAATATTAAAAAAAGAATGCAGCAGACAGCGGAAAAAGGCGAGGCAACGGCTACGGGAAAGGATGCGCAGTGAGAGCCACAGGGGGAGGTGTGAGGGAGAACGTAGAGGAGGGAAAGGAGAGGAGGCGAACGGCGTGCGGGCACCTTACGTGTGTATGTATGTATGTATAACTGTACAACAACACCACTTTCAAAAGCCGGCAACCCACTTGCAAATCAGCAGTCTGAACTCCTTCAAACTGTTTCCCAGTATTCTCCCACCCCACCCTTCACACACATACACACACACGCCACCACCCGGCCCCGATTACCCCCCCTCATCCAAACCACACAGTAAGAGCATCACCGCCAGCCGCCGCAATCCTCCCACCCAGCCTGCCTCTTTTGTTCTCATATCTCCCTTGTGCATCCACAACCTAGGGTTGGTAGAATTTACTCGTCCATCCATCCATCCATCCATCCATCCTTCCATCCATCCATCCATCCATCCATCCATCCATCCATCCATCCATCCACAATCACACAACCACACACTTACACCCCAATCCCGCCTCGTACATGCTGCCACAGGGCTTCGCTGCCACTGTTCCCATTCCCCCTCAAACCCTTATCCCTCACTGCTCACCTGCCCCTCTCGAAGCGCCTTCAAGTGGATGTCCTCGCCAATGTGCTTGGCGCGGATGAGGTACGTGAACTCGAGCCGCTCGTCCTCGCGAAACTCAACCGTACCTGAGTACGACACAAGTACGACATGCCACAAGGAGATGACATTATTTCAACCATGCCGTACCATGTAGTGTGTCTTTTGCCTTTGCCCCGGCCAAAAGACTGAAGTCGGAAGTCGGAAGCGGGACGCAGGAAGAGAGTTTTGCAACACCGACACAACATCGCGGTACGGCGATGACGTGTTGTTCGTATCCCTGGGAGTGATTAATACGTCAAAAATGACAATGTTGTGGTGGTGAAGTCAGGTCAGGTGGCAGGGCGCCGTACTGCGCGCACGTATCACCCTCGTGTCAAGCAGCTAGCAGGTAACCGCAACATTAAACAAGGTTTATTTTTAAACCACAACGCCGCCTGCCTGTCTGCCCGTCGGTCTGTCTGTCAGCCATTCAGGACGTCAGTCAGTCTGTCAGTCAGTCAGTCATGTTGGGTAGTACCCACCATCGTCCGCAATTGGCACGCCGTCCACTTCCAGGATGACGTCATTCTTCTGTACGGCACTGTGTGCGGCCGAGAGAGGGTCAGTCTTCACCACCAGCACTCCGGACATCATCTCCGGCATCTGCCGTACACACAGCATGCGGAGGGAGGCAGGAATCAGGAAACTCGGGAAAACGTCCCACCCCCACCCCCACCCTGGATGGGGAGCCCCAAAGTGCACTGTTGCCATCTTTCGGCAAAAAAAGAGGGGGGAGCAAAGCAAACGTAAATCGGAAAAGAAAAGAAAAGGAAAGAAAAGGAAAGAAAAAGAAAAGCTCGGTAAAGCGAGTCGAACAAATATGCCACAAATTAAAAACGCACCTAGGCCAGAAAACAAAAACCGCAAGCGACTAATGGATAGCAAGGCAGGCGTAGTAACCAGTAACAATACTTCAGGGCCGATTGCAACATGCAACATAAACCAACCAACCAACCAATCAACCAACCACCGACCAACCTTGAGGTAGGCGCGCTGCGCCGGGTTCTCCAGGTCTTGCGTCAGGAAGCCCGGGGAAGGCACGCCGCGGTAAGTGCCGTACATCTCGGCCTCCTGGGCTTGGGAGGGGATCGAGGTTGCGTGCGTCACATCCCATCACGGCGGTGGTGGCGGCGGCGGCGGCGTCCGGCGGCCGCGGTACCCCAGACCACCCCACGTGCGCCCCGCAGCGGGCGGGTCCGTCCTCCCTTCCCCCCTCTGCCTCCCTCCCTCTCGCCCGTTGCACTCTTCACCAACCCCCTCCTAAAACCCTCCTCACCCGGCTCGGGCCCCCTCACCTCCAGGAAGTGTTTCACGACCCGGTGCGGTATGATGTAGCCGATGTTGTCCGTACTGGAGCTAACGTTCTTGCTGAAGGCAACACCTGTATGCATGTATGTACGTGCATATGTATGTATGCATGCATGTATGTACGTGCATATGTATGTATGTATATATGCATGCATGCATGTATGTGTGCCAGCAAGCGACAGCAGCAGTAGCAGTAGCAGCGGAAAGCACCCGCAGCAGCTCGCGCTATAATGCACGTCCTGGCAGTAGCATCTCTGGCTCTCGGGGCCTGAGAGGAGAGGCCGCGCGGAGGGATATGCACGCACCCCTGCACCCCCCCCTGCGGCCGGACGCCGGCGCAAGGAGTTCCCCAACGCGCCACCCTAACTGCTCCGCCGTACACACCACACCAGCCCCACCACCTACCGGCCACTTTGCCGCCCTCCAAATCCGCAAAGGCGGGGCCGCCGCTATTGCCTGTTTTGGAAATCATGTTAGAAAGTGAGCAGGGGCAGGGGCAGTGCGGGGCAGGGATAGGACGGAAGGGCGCTAACCGCAATGAGTGTAAGGGTGGCTTCCGTTCGCCCCTCTGTTTGTCTGTCTGTTGGTTTGTCCGTTGATGTGCTGTTCGCGCCGTACAAAACCCACAAGCGTACCCGCCAGCTGGTGCTTCAATGGTCTTCAGCGGTTGGACTTCGTTTGCTGCTTGCACCATCATCATCATCATCATCACACATACATACGCAACTCTCTCTTTCTATCGATCTGCCTATCTATCTATCTACCTATCAATCTACCTACCTATCTATCTACCTACCTATCTACCTATCTATCTACCTACCTATCTATCTACCTATCTATCTACCTATCTATCTATCTATCTATCTATACCTGACATACACACCTGGGTTAATGGCGGCGTCGATCTGAATGGACAGCAATCGCGCTGTGGCCGAGTACCGCACCAGGGCGATGCGGGACACAATGCCCTTTGTGACGCTGATGTTGTCACCTGGAGGTGCGGGTCGGTGTGGGTCAGCGGGTCGGTGTGGGTCAGCGGGTCGGTGTGGGTCAGTGGGTCGGTGAGGTGAAGGGGAGGTGCCCAGGATAAGGAGGTAAAGGAAGTGAGCAGACGCAGCCGCAGGTGGTGGAGGAGGGAAAGACGAACCACGTGAACGAGTGAAGCTGCTGCCAGGGCAAGAGTGTATACCAGAAGTAGAATTGAGCAAGAGGCGTTCTTGGTGGAGGAGGGGAGGGAACGAAGCGGAGGGGGGTTAGTGATAGTGGTATTGGACGCGGGGAAGGAGGGGGGAGAACCAAAGTCGTGGGGGCAGCGGGGCCCCCTGTGGGGGGGGGAGGGGGGTTCCCGGGCTCAGGGTGCTGCCGCAGGAGACCGTGTGGCAAACCAAAAACCAAAAAGAGATCGGGGCACAGGGATGGGAAACAAATATACACATTGACATGAAGGGTTGCCGTTCTGTTAAGACCGAGTGCAGTCTGGCAGCACGGTGCAAGGCAAGGACAAGTGCGCGGTCCTCCACTACACGCTCTCAGAATGCTCCTCCCTCCCTCCCTCTACCCTCCCTCCCTCTTCCCTCCCG